AGTGAAGCTTGGACTTCTTACAACAGTAACACTGGTTCTTACTATTTCCTGAAAAGGATCAGTCATTTTTGGTACAATAACTCTGTGTATTCCTTCTATCATCTTTTGATAGTTGCTGTATCATTCAATTTTTTGCTCCTAGGATCCTTAAATTCAAGGCTTGACTCTTTTTTACTTTATGCTTGAAAAATGTTTTCTCCTATTTTTGTTTTCTAACTTTGATTCTTTGAATATTTCATTATGTTTTGCACTGTCTTCTTCAGCTGCCTCCTGAAATCTTCTGTTCAACTCTTTGACTTAATTTTTTTCTTTTTGCTTTAGCACAGTGTGGAACAAGTTTCAAAGTCTCGTCTGTTGTCCATTTTTTAATTTTCTTTCTTTTGTGTCTTTTTTAAATAACGTTTTACTTTTTTCTTTTATGCTGTCTTGGAAGTCATCCACAACTGATCTGATTTTCAGTCAGTTAATGTTTCAAATATATTATTAAGATGGTTTCTGTATTCAGCTGAGATAGACTAAAGTTTGTATTTTGGCTTTTAAGGATTTCGTTTCATTTTTTTCAGCTTCAATTTTAACTTAGAAATGTGCAAATGCTCATTTTGCCTGCTTAGCTTTTCCATGGTCTCTTTCCACAGATATAGTCAATTTGATTTTCTGTCTATTCTGTTAGATGTTGTTTTTGTTGGATGCCAATAAGTAAAATACAACTCATAATAACCCTTTGAACAACAGATCTGAACCCTCTTCTATCCTGTGCCAATCTCACAATCTCTGACACACTCAAGCCCTTGCTGAAATAGTTCTGTCAGTACACTCCTTCCTTCACTGTCCCCTTACCTTTCCAAGCATGATGGCCTCTCCTAGCAACATGCCCAGAGTATGTGAGATGGAACTTTATAATCTTTGCCTCCATGGAGCACTCTGGCTGCACCTTTTCCAACAACAGTTTAAGGCACCAATTTTTCTTCTGTCATCCTTATTCATTGTCCAGCTCTCAGATGGATAGCAAATGAAAAGATGATGACCTGAATCAGGGGCTCCTAATGTCAGACTGTCAAATTTGACAAATAATGTCAAACTGACATCGCTCCTCTGTAATTTGGAGAGCCCCTGAATGCAGATTTTCTCAGGGAAATACATCTACCGATCTCCTGACTGCTAACACCAAGTAGTATATTGCTTATGGATCCAAGTAAGAGGAAGTCATTGATAATTTTCAGTCTTTCCTCCATCTGGCATGATGTTGCCTATTGGCCCAGTAGCAAGGATTTTTTTTTCTTGATGTTGAGATGCAGTCTGTATTGAAAGCTGCAGGGTTTAACCTTCTGCAGCAAGTGCTTCAAATCCTCTTTACTTTCAGCAAGCATGGTTGTGTCATCTGCGTACCAAAGGCTATATTGATGAACCTCCCTCCTATCCTGATACCACATTCCTCTTCATAGAGTCCAACTTCTTGAATAATATGCTCAAAGTATACAACCCTGATGCACACCTTTCTTAAACCATGTGGTGTTCCCTTGCTCTGTTTGCATAATAGCTTCTTGGTCTAAGTATACATTTCACATGTTGCTGTTGTTGATGGTCTTCAAGTCGAGCACAACTCATAATGACCCTATGAACAAAAGGCCTGAAACCCCTCTACAGCTGTCGACATTTATCAAAGTTGATAGAGTTTCCAGAGGCATGTTGTTTAGAAATGGATGCCACTCCTGCTTCTAAACCTGTCATAGTATTTTATTGTTGTTATGTGCCATTGAGTTGCCTACAATGTATAGTGACCCTGTGTACAGCAGCTCTGAACCCTTCCCTGTCCTGAGCCAGTCTCACTAATTCCGATACACCAATCCCCATTGCCCCAATTACTGTATCAATCCATCTCATATGGGGTCTTCCTCTCCTATGCTGTCAGTCCACCCTTCCAAGCATGATGTCCTTCTCCAAGGACCAATCTCTCCTGGCCGTGTACCCAAAGTAAGTGAGGCAGAGCTTCAAAATCCTAGCCTCCAAAGAGAGAGTTGGTTTTGCCCTCTCCAAGACAGACCTATTTGTTTTCTTGGCAGTCCATGGTATGTTCAAGATTCTTCTCCAGCATCACAACTCAAAGCCATCTATTCTTCATCTGTCAACTTTAGTCGTTGTCCAACTCTCTGAAGTTTAACAAGTAATTGAGAAGACAATGGCCTGGATTAGGCATACCTTTGTATCTAGACTGACATTGTTGCTTTTCAGCACTCTGGAGAGGTCCATGACAGCATATTAGAAAAAGCTCACAGATTATAGTCACTGTTTATTTGCACGAATAGATCAAGTCAGTAGTCATTCATAATTCTATCATGTGGTCTTTCAGCCTGATTTCTACAACCAATTTCATATTTCCTACCCCAGTCTTTCTTTATTTCTCCTAGTCGTCAGTTATTCACACATCTTGATTGCATATTCAGACTTAATTTCAGACTGTACAAGTGGATTTTTGTTGATGTTAAGTGCCATTGAGTCAACTACAATTCATAACAACACTATGAACAATGACTCTAAATTCTGCTCTGTCCTATGCCATCCTGACCATCTCTGACATAATTGAGTCCACAGTTAAAGTCATTGTTAGTCTATTTCATTGAGGATCTTCCCCTCTTCTGCTGACCCTCGACCTTCCTAAAATGATGTCTTTTTACAAAGACAGGCCCCTTCTAAGAATATGCCCAAAGTATGTAAGTCACAGTTTCAGTATCCTTGCATCCAAGGAGCACCCTGGCTGCACTACTTCCAAGGAATATTTGTTTGTCCTTTTGACAGTCCATGGAATATTCAGAACTCTTCTCCAACACTATATCTCAAAGGTATCAGTTCTTCTGTCATCCTTAGTCATTGTCCAACTTTCAGCTACTTAGCAAATAGTCGAGATTATGGTTTAGATCAGGTGTACCTTAGTCTTCAAACTGACATCATTAATTGTTCTTCATTTTGCAGGAGGTCCTTGACCATAGACTTTCCCAGTGTAACATGTCTTTGGATTTCCTGGCTCCTAGTGCCAAAGGTGTTGATGGTGGATCCAAGCAAGATGAAATCAATGACAATATTTCTCTCTTCTCCATCTATCAGGATGTTGCCTATTGACCTGGTGGTTAGGATTTTTTTCTGGATGTTGATGTGACCCATATTGAAGGATATAGTCTTTGATCTTCTGCACCTTGCATTTCAAATCCTCCTCACTTTCAGCAAGCAAGGTTATGTCATCTCTATAACGTGGATTGTTAGTGAGTCTTCCTCCAATCCTGAACCACTTTCTTCTTCATAGAGTCAAGATTCTCAAATTATTTGCTCTGCATATAGATTGAATGGGTATGGAGAAAGGATATAGCCCTAATGCAAACCTTTCTTTCCTGATTTTAAGTCATGCAGTGTTCCCTTGCTCTTCTTAATACAGGTATAGGTTTCACATAAGAACATTTAATTGACAGAAATGGATAGAAAGCCTCAATTTTTTTACCTTTATTGATTAGTGTGTAAATCTGAATGATAAGTGTATTAATTTATCTTTCTAGCATGCATAATGAATATTTTCCTATCACTGATAGCATTATATGCCTGCTGCAGTTGACATAAGTTCTAACATGACAGCAAGAAGAAAACCACCACAGTACAACATATGGACAGATGAGTGTTGAACTAACATAATTAAACTTAACCCCTTTCTGTCGAGTTGGAACTGACTCACCACTGACCCTCCAGCAAATGAATAGAGGAGATTGCCCATCTTTCTCCCACAGAACTGCTGGTGGCTTCAGACCACCAGAAAGGTGCTGCCGTTGGATTAGCAGTACACCTTCCCACAAACTAGTCCAGCAGGGCTCCTTTAACATAATTAGGTATTTTAACTCAAAAACTACTGTTATTTAAGTTTTTTGAGATATCGCTTAGGAAGCTGTTTCTGTAATCCAGGCAAAAGATGATTGGAATTAAAACTAACATGGTAAGGGAGACGAGACAACTGAATGAATTTCAAAAGGGCCTTATCCTTTTTTCTTTTTTTAAATGTCTGAGATGCACCTTCCTTCTCCACACTCCTGCCCCCAATCTCACAAGCCTTCCCTGCTATTCAGAGCTAGCTCATATGCCTGACCCTTAGAAAGACCTTCCCTAGTCATCCACTCAAAAATAGTCACAGATAGCTATCTTGCACTTCAGTTATCTTTGTAGCCCAGTCTCCTGAAAGACTTGTGTATTACCTATTTCTCCTTACTGAAATATGTATCTTCTTCACACCTACGTGCCTAGGACATGGTATAGGAAATAGTACATAATGAAAGCTCAATAAATATTTATTGACTGTGTGAATGTATAAATTCTTAAGTGTTTATAAACATAACTATGAGGAGGGAGAATTTTATAATAATTAGGATTTTCTCAGAAATTTTACATAGTTCCTGGCTAATGGTGCTCCCACGAATGTTTATTGGAGTATGAGATGATCTTGTCCTTTCTTCCACCATTCTGGCCCTGTTTCATACCATTATCATGTCACCCAAGAACTAGCAGTGCAAGAGCCTTCTTTTAATCTTTTCCTGTTCCTAATCCATCCTTAATGTTAAATCCTAGTCTTGTGACTCTACTGCTAATAAAAATTCATTTAACTCTTTGCTGCAAACTTAGCCTAAACTTTTTTCCCAACATCATCTTTTCCCTTTCATGCCCCACATCCAGAACCAAAATTTGACCTTGTATCTATCTCACCTGAATTTAAAAACTTCTCTCAGGAACAGAGTTGAGGCCTTGAACATTAACGAACTGTGGGAGGATATCATCAAAGGTCATTACAAAGACAGAGGAGGAAGAAAAGACCAAGATGGATGCCAGAAGAGACTCTAATTATTGCACTAGAGCACCGAGAAGCGAAAACAAAGGAAAGAAAGCAGGAATTTAAGGAGCTGAACAGATTTCAAAGAACAGCTCGGGAAGACAAAGCAAAGTATTATAATGGCATGCACAAAGAGCTGGAGTTGGAAAATCAAAAGAACCAAGCTTGCTCGGCATTTCTTAAGCTGAAGGAACTAAAGAACAAATTTAAGCCATTAATAGCAATACTTAAGGATGTTATGGGCACAATATGGTATGATTCAAAATACATTAAAAGAAAATGAAAGAAGTACACAGAGTCACTATACCAAAAAGAATTGGCTAACACAGAAGAATTTCATGAAACAGCTTGTAAACAACAGGCAGTGGTGATGAAGAAGGAAGTTCAAGATGCTCTGAAGGAATTAGCAAAAATCAAGACCCCAGAAATTGATGGAGTACAAATTGACATATTTTAGCAAACAGACACTGCCCTGGACCTGGTCACTAGGGGGTGCCAAGAAATCTGGAGGTTAACTACCTGGCCAAGAGTGGAAGAGATCCATATTTATTTCCATTCAAAAAAAAGATAACCTGACAGTATAGAAATTATCAAACAATATCACTAATAATCACACTCAAGCAAAATCCTGCTAAAGATTATCCAAAACCAACTGGAACAGGACATTTGACAGAGAACTACCAGAAATGCAAGCTGAATTTAGTAGCGGCCATGACAGTAGAGACACTCTCACCAATGTCAGATGGATATTGGCTGAAAGCGGAGAGTACCAGAGGAATGTCTCTCTGTGTTTCATTGACTATGCAAAGGCATTGTCAAATGTGGATCACAACAAATTGTGGCTAACTTTGAGAAGAATGGGAATCCCAGAACACTTGATTGTGTTCATATGACACCTATGCTTGGGCCAGGAAGCAGTCCTAAGAACAGAGCAAGGAAACACTGCAAAATCAGGAAAGGAGTGCTTCAGGGATGCATCTTGTCTCCATACATTTTCAATCTGTATGCAGAACAGATCATTCAGAAAGCTGGACTTTATGAAGAGGAATGTTAATCAGTATTGGAGGAAGATTGATCAACAACCTGCATTACACAGATGACACAATCTTGCTTGCCAAAACTGAGGAAGATCTGAAGCGCTTGCTGCAAAAGGTCAGGGACTGTAGTCTTCAATATGGACTGAATCTCTAAATCAAGAAGAGATTGAGGATATTAACAATTTCAGCTTGTTCGGCTCCACAATCAACACTCTTGGCACCAGCAGTCAGGAAATCAAAAGACGATTGGGGAAGTCTGCTGTCAGGGACCTCTCCAAAGTGCTAAAGAATAATGATGTCAGTCTAGGTACTAAGGTTCACCTGACCCAGGTCATGGCCTTTGCAGTTACTTGCTATGCATGAAAGCTGGACAATGACTAAGGATGACAGAAGAAGAACTGATGCCTTCGAATTGTGGTGCTAGAGAAGAGTATCAAACATAACATGGACCACCAAGAGAACAAACAGGTCTGTATTGGAGAAAGTGAAATCAAGTTTCTCCTTGGAGGCAAGGATTTTGAAGCTCCATCTTTGGGCACGTGGCCAAGAGGGACCAGTCCTTGGAGGACATCATGCTTGGAAGGGTGGAAGAACAACATAGGAGAGGAAGACCCTGGATCAGATAGATTGACACAGAAACTGGGGTTACTAGGTGGGTTGCAGTCAGTGAGACTGGCTCAGGACAGGGCAGAGTTCAGAGCTATGTAGGGTTGCTTTGAGTTAACAGGCCACTCAATGGCTCATAAAAACAACTCTGCTCAGACAAGCCTATTCCCCAAGCATGCAATAAAATAGTATGTCCCCTTGTGCTTTTGTTAGAGCTATGGTTTTTTTCTGTCTAGTGTCTCCTCAAGGAGGTTTGGTGATACGTTGGTTAAGTATCCAAAAGATCAATGGCTCAAACTCACCGCCTTCTCCAAAGGAAAAAAGATCTACCTGTTTGCCTCTAAAAGGTTGATAGCCATGGAGACCCAAGAGTAGGTCCATTCTGTTGTATAGACTCAATGTGAATGAAAATCATCCTTGTAGCAATAAAATATCTGCTTACTCTATCAAAAAACAGCCAAATTTAACTCATTCTTAAACTTTCAACTTCCCTTCTTTGGTAAAACACAGAGTTGCACTCTAAATTATTCCCTTTGATATTATCATATAAAAACATGTGCTGGCAGTACTATAGTTATTTGTTAGTTGTTTTGTAATTATGGACATTTCCTGTCTCCTCTCCTCTTATATTATTTCTAAAAGACAGGAAATCCTTGGCTTTGTTTTACTTTGAATCTGTAATACATAACGTAGTAAATAAGGTTGACATGCTATTTAATGCTTTTATTGTTGATGAATGTTTTGCTTAAAGTTTTTAAATCAACAGGGTATGTCATTGCCTTCTCTATAGGGTACCAGCCGTCCTTCACACTATCATGTTTTATGGGATGATAACTGCTTCACTGCAGATGAACTTCAGCTGCTAACTTACCAGCTCTGCCACACCTATGTGCGCTGTACACGGTCTGTTTCTATACCTGCACCAGCGTATTATGCTCATCTGGTGGCATTCAGAGCCAGGTACCATCTTGTGGACAAAGAACATGACAGGTAATTACATACCCACCAAATCTAAATATGGTATCTGTACCATCCTTAAAGAAAACTTCAATTTTTTTTGAGGATTTCTCTAAGCACTTTATGTAAATATGCCCTTTTTGTTTGCCATAGAGTGCTGCCACTTAAAAATAAAAGTCCACAAGCTATTAGAAAAGCCAGTGATCCATATGAAAAATAGTGATAAAGATAACGATGGTCAAAGTGAGATTTTTTTTTATTGAAATGTACCTTAATTGCTGTCTAGGTTCATTAGTAATATAAGCCAGTTCAAGATAGAAGTTATTGGTAATAAAATTTAGATAGATAGATTAAATGATATGATGTCTGTGATTTCCTTTGAGTAATTTGGGGGATATGAGAGAAGTAAAATAAAATTGGCCTTATTTAATAACTATTTAAACTGGATGATGAACACATAAAGATCATTATACTGGTCTCTATTTTTATAATATTTTTAAATTTTCTAATACCGCATAACACTTTTCAGAATTACTGCATCAGAACAGGATTTATTTTTGTGTTCATTGTCACTTCTCTTGTAGTGCTGAAGGAAGTCACGTTTCAGGACAGAGCAATGGACGAGATCCACAAGCTCTTGCCAAGGCTGTACAGATTCACCAAGATACCTTACGCACAATGTACTTTGCTTAATAATTCAAGTATATTCTCTGAGAAGAACTGAAAGAGGACTGGACATATACAACATGTATTTCCAGGGGAGTCAGTTAAGTGGGGATGCCTCAGCCATACAGAAACCAACACTATGGGGGACCAGGGTCTGATATTTATATGATACAAGAAAGATTGTTTACTTCATCAAGGAACACAGCTCCATTATGCAATATGAAACCAGCCAACTGCTTTTTCGTGCAGTCTCCCATAGGAAGTATTGCAATTGTTTGGTTTTTCACTTCTTGTAGTCTACCCTTTTAATGCCTTTACCTCAAGTTGCTTGGCAGCACAACTACCTTTGCAAAAAAAATAAAGGAAAGGAAAATGATAGTTTTACACACGTACACACACAAACACACACACACCCTACATGAATAATTGAAGTTATTGTTCATTATTGTTCACAGTTTTGTGTGCAAAAAAAAAAATGTGTATTTGTGTATTCTTGTGAATTCTCTGTGTATCTATTATATATTTACATGCACACTTAATATGCATATATATCTGGATCTGGATGATAGTAGATATATATGTGTCTATGTACATATTTTCATGGTTCATTCCACTGGGAAGTTTTCTTTCCTTTCTACTTCCCCTCTTCTCTTTAATTTCTCTCTACTTCCCTTGCCTTCATCACCTCCACCTTTTTCCTCTAATGCTACCAGTGCCACTCAGATATACATATATCTGGTTCATTTTGATGTGAAGCATAAAAAACTAGATTTTTTGTTTTGTCTTATACACATTATTTTATTCTTTATTTTAAACAACTGCTATCTCTTGTTTCATACATAGTTCTGAGTCCTCAACTCTTGACATTACTTTCTTAAGAAACAAAATTATTTTATATATGTTTTTCTGAATGTGTGTGTGTCTGTGTCTTTCTGAACTTACAGTTGCCATTAGTGCAATGTGTACGTAAGCGATAGTAACTTTCCTTTTTCTTTAGTGAGTTTGTTCAAGCTGCTGTAAAACCTTGTCAGAAGTTGTAACTCTTCTCTGATAAGGGATATGTATTCTAAAGCCTTTCTGTTTTTGTGGGTTCTGATTCATAGGACTCTCTTAAAGCTTTTTTTAAAGAGTAAATATTTTAAAAGGTTGGAACTCTGTAGGGTTAAGGCCTCTGAAATTTAGGTGGAGAGTGGGGAGAGGTGATTGGGTTTTGTGTGTTTGCTGATTTACTTGCTGCCTATCATACCTTAATGTGATTTTCATATATATATTTTTATATATATATGTGTGTATGTATATATAAACATATATGTATGCATTTTTAAGTACAGCTTCCTTTTCTTTTGTATTTATTAGAATAGTGCTTTAATAATTATAGAACATAAGAACAACATCTTTTATAGAAATATCATGTTTATTTTAAGAACTGAAAATTTGGTTGCTTTTAGTGCAATAAGCAATTTTAAAGGAAAGCTGTGTCTTTTTGACATCTTTACCATAGATGGGGGAAGAATAGGCACCTTCATGATTTTAAAAGGGCAAAAGTAGCAGCCTTAATTTCAAAAGGAAAGTTATGTAATTTTCAAATTTAAATAATGCATGTCTCTTAAAAATGATAATGAAAATGAAGGGAAGTGCAAGTGCCTAAATGAGTTTGACCTTTACTGTTAGAAATAAAGTTGGGCTTTAAGAAATGACAATGAACTCGTTATAGATGAGAAGATATTTAACTCCTTTGAAAATAGACCATGTTTATTAAAGAATCTCATTTGCTACTTGCCCACTCTCATTTACCAAAATGAACCAAGAAAATACAAGATATTTTCAAGTCCTGTTTTGCTAATTATCATCACTGTAACTTTCCTTTTAAAATTAGGGTGTTGGAGACAAAAGCAAATGAAAACTTTGATCATCTTAAATGAGTTAAATCACTGAAATATAGAAAAAGTTTTGTATAACATTTATTGATTTCACTCTAAGATATAAGAAATACTGTAAACTACCAATTCCAAGTTTATCAGTAGCATTGGATTCAGGGGAGCTTTGCACTTTGTAACTCATACAAATTGCATTTTTAACTTTTTTTTTTGCACTGGTTCAAAGTATAGTTACTACAGATTATTTCCAATGGGCATTGTTGATAGCCTTTCATAATACCACCTACACATGAAGACTAATAGATTTAGCTCTTTAGTTTGTCTTTTAACTATAATCCACTTTTATTGCCAATTTACTGTATTTTGAGCCTAAAATCTGAGCCATGTCCTCCAATAGGCATGAAATCTTTTGTCCCTCTGCCAGAAAACTGAGAAAGTACTGTATTTTATGTTTATTATATTGAAATGTGTAAAATGCAGTTTATAGCACTGTTTCAAAGCGCTTTACATGAGATAGACATGTTTTCTCCTACTCCTTCCTTCTCTAAAAACTTCTTATAAAACACTGGGGGCGGGGGCGGCGGTTCACTTTGAAATTTCACTAAGTTTGATCAGAATTAATTAACAAGAAAAGGACATAGTTCATCCTTCACAGTAAAAAGGAATCCTGATGGCAAAGTTGTTAATTAAGCATTTTGCTGCTAATCAAAAGGTTGACAATTTAAACCCTCTAGCCAGGCTGGGAGAAGTCCTGACAGGAGACTTCCACAGGGATGACAGCCTTTATGATTTCATGAGGCAGTGCTGATCCGCTCAGTAGGGTCACATGGAATCAGAATCAACTCCAAGGCAATGGGGTTTTCCATTGTTATACATGATAAAGCCTTCTTGGTTGGTGTGTGCTTATTCAATGTGAGGTGATGAAAACATCTTTTTTTATCAATAAGAGTTACACAGATTTGTGTGGGGAAAACTTTAGGGCCCAGGAAAGAACTATAAATGCCCTTTCCCTATTTATTACTGTACCCAGTCACTTAATCACATAATTGTTAGGGTGAAACCATTAATTTCCATCTATTTGGAAGGACTTTTTTTTTCTAAAGGAAAAGTATATATATTTTTAAATATAAAGCTTTACCTTTTGAGTGATTTTTTTAGGGTGCTCTTATTACACTTTTTGACTAATTTAAGATTGCTATCTTGTTTAAAGTTTAAATTTTCTAGTTTAAAGTTGATTAGCTTGGCACAATGCATATTTTATTTGCTTATTAACAAATAGGTATATCAAACTTAACAAGAAACTCATGCTTAGAATTTTAAAAGAAAAAGCTTAGAAGCAAATTTTTGAAACTATTTTTCATTTATGATTTAGAATTAATCTTTTTATTTAAAAAAAAAAAGCTTTTTTTTTAACTTAACGGTCTTGAAACTCACAGGGACTTCTCTACTCATTGTTGTTGTTGTTGTTATGTGCCATTGAGTCGTTTGCGACTCATAGCGACCCTATCTATGTACAACAGCCCTAAACCCAGTTCTATCCTGTGCCAATCGCATAGCCTCTGACACACCCATCCCGATTACCCCAGTCACTGAATCAATCCACCTCATAGAGGGTCTTCCCCTCCTGTGCTGTCCCTCCACCTTATTCTCATACCCAAATTTATTAACTATATATTAAATGCTAAATTTTAGTCTACTGTTTTCTCTGAAGTATCTTATAGAACTTTAAAATGTCAGTCACAGCAACTGGTTTAAATGATTCTCATGTGAGGAGAGATTGGAAGTTGGTTGTATATTCTGGATGGCAAATGTGTCTGTGTAAAGTGCTGATGCGTGTTGTTTGACAGGATCAAGTTACTGGCAGTGAGGGCCATACAGTAACAATACTCTAGCTGCTATATTTATTTAAATAGAGTCTGACAGTTCTGCACTAAACCGTAAGGAAGTGAGAGAAATCATTGTTTGCGTTAAACCCATTTGGTGTTTTGTTTTTTAAATAAGACTAAGGACATGAACTATCAAGTTAACAAAGGGTGCTGCCATTTTAATTTCAAGATAATATCAAGAAAGATAATCTCACTTTGTTTTAGAAACGTAGATTTTGACTTGGGTGGGGAAGAACCTCATCCTCTGTGTGCTGGCTTTTGGCATATTTTTACAGTAGTAGAAATGCTCTTGATTTTTTTTAATAGTTCCCTTTTTAAAAGTTTCTTTTAAAAAATCTATTTGTAACTTGTATTTCTTTTAGAAGGGAGTCCAGAAGAGATTCTAGTAGGTAACTAGGTGTTTTAGAAGGTACTTGATAAAAATTCATTCCAATCTTCTACCATAGGGATCCCAGCCTTCTAAAGGTTTATATTAGTTTTCTGAGTAAGGTCTTCTCAAGACTCACCATTACCTAATGCTTATTGTCTGTGTTCTCTCTTTAATGGCATTTAGTATGTAGAGCCATGCCAGGCTTAAGATATACTTAAAAAAATAAAAGCTGAGTTACCATTTCATGTAGAAATAATGTGTTAAAGGAAAGCATCAGAACTCAGAGTGCCTATAATAGAGCAAAGTAATTAGATAAATTACAGAATTAGGAACCATTACTCAAGGATCATGGTGGGTTTTTTCAGAGGCTATCATGAATTTGCCACCATTATTGATTTCTATCAGATTCTAGAAACTAGCCACCTTGACCCAGCAAGAATATTTGAAGATTTGCCGTTTCAATACTTGATAGTTTTGCCAAAAAACTTAACCAACAACTCTATATAATTTTTATTTTATATCATTGAATTTGAGTTAAATGTTTGCTTACCTCATTCTCTTTGATTGGACACTTTTAAAAATTATTTGCTCTTTACTAGCTACTTCAAGTATCTTTTATGACATACCAGCCAAAACAACATCTTTGACCTGGCATTCTTCTTTGTCCTTTTCCAATATCCATATATGAGGTAAGAATCCTTTTCATTCTTTTTGCAAATTCATAGGTTTCTTGTAGGCTTAACTTCAAGCAAGGCCTTTCTGATTAGTGATATGTATGACCGCCTCTAGAATCAGACTTTATTTTCCTATTTCTTTCACTATTTGACTAAATGAAGCTCTTTTGTAATTCTATAAGAATTATAAAATCAGCCAGGAGTGAATATGTAAAAATCAGTACAGAAATGTGAAAATGAGAATTTTTCTTTTTAAATTTTTTTAATTCCTTTTTATATTAAGGATATTCTTGACCTATGGCAATGTTAGGAGTCATACATGACTAATTAAAATGAAGCTAGCTCTCAGGAAGGGGAAAAAAAATCTACATATGTAACAAAAGAAAAGATTGTTTTTACTTGTTTCCTACTTAAAAATGGTACATTTTATAGTATAATTTTAACAAAGATAATGTCAAGATTTATGCTGCTGATTATTGAAATTTGTTTTCTTTTCCCATCAGGATAGTTAGTAATCTAGATTTTCACATTACTAGTTAAATGTAAAAAATCTTTTACAGAATGAAAAGATTTTTTTTTTACTTTAATGAAAGATAAAAGGATAATACATTTATTACAGATGGTTAGAATTTGCCAGTGAAAAACCATATTGAAGGAGTCAGGTAACAGTATCCTAAAATTAGAGTCTGTCAAATTACCTATCCGGTCCTTTAGCTCCATATCTTTTTTTCAATATAATGTCTGAGATAACCAGAATGTTTGGTAAGGTCTAAGTAAAGCAAAGATACACCCCAAGGTAAGTTATGAATTAAAGTTTTAAGTCATTTTATAAAAGTAAGTTGGTTCTTGGAAAGTGCCTTTTGAGAAGATGGTGCTGTAGATTTTTATTTTTCAAATAGCATGAGACTCAGTACTTTAAGATAAATGAGAGCACCAAGAGTATGACAGTTCCGTCTAAGTA